GTGTGTGTGTGTGTGTGTGTGTGTGTGTGTGTGTGTGTGATAGAGAGAGAGAGAAGTGGGAAAGACTACCTGTGTTGGCTGTTGAGTTGCTACCTCAGTTCTGGAGTCCCAATGAAAATGGGGTGGCAGGGTCAGGATGGGACCAGATGGAGAGTCTCCCCCTCCCATCACCACCACGTGGTAGCCCGAGAACAGTTGCCCAGCCAGGCCTGCGGTGGCTATTTGAGAGGCCTCACGGTTGCCATGGTAACCCAGCCCTCTAGCTCTGCAGTCTAAGGGGAGGAGGGTGAGTGAATGTCCCTGGGCAGGGCACAGGCACCAAGGTGGAGCAGGCACTGAGTTGGGAACAAACACCTCACCAGCCACTGACTAATGAACCTGAGTGTGTATGTGTGTGTTGTGTGTGTGTGTGTGTGTGGGAGGCTCCCATATGCTTCCCTTCCTTTCTGTCCCTCCTACCCACGCCCTCTTTCTTCTACCACCCCAGCTGTCTCTTCTCAGTACACTTCCTGTCCCTTCCTCCTCCTTCCCTAACCCCGCTCAGGCCCCACCACTCAGGAGCCAGCGGGTGAGGGGAGGTCCCCTCTCCTAGCCTCTCTTCTCCCTTCCCACCACATCTGCTGCTGGCTCTGGATTCCCTCTGAGGCGCTCACAGCACTCTTGTTGCTCTTGGGTGCTGTCCAGTTGGTTCCAATTCATAGCGATCGAATGTGCAAGAGAACGAAATGCTGCCCCGTCCTCCCGATGGGTCCCATGTTTGAGCCCATTGTTGCAGCCACTGTGCCAATCCATCCCCTTGAGGGCCTTCCTATTTTTTGCCCCCTGCGCCTCCACTTTACCAAGCACGAGACCCCTCTCCAGGGACAGGTCTCTCCTGACAACATGTCCAAAGTACGTGAGAGGAAGTCCTGCCATCCTTGCCTCTCTGGAGTATTCCATTTGTACTTCGTCCAAGACCGATCTGTTTGTTCTTTTGGCAGTCCATGGTGCTCGCTCGATATCCTTCGCCAACACCATAGTTCAAACCCATCGATTTTCCGTCAGTCTTCCCGACTCCAGGTCCAGCGTCCACGTGCACGTGAAAAGCGGTTGTTAGGTGCCATGGAGTCAGCTGCGACTCATAGCAACTCTGTCGGCAGAACACTGGCTGCTCCTGCTCCATCCTCACAGGGCTGGCTCGGTGTGGGCCCATCGTGGCAGCCACTGTGTCCAGCAATCTCCTTGAGGCGCATGCTGGTTTTTGCTGACCTTCTACTTCACCCAGCACCATGTCCTTTCCTGGGGACTGGTTCCTCCCCAGCACCTTTATAAAGCTGCTTCTTGTCCTTCCCAAGCTCATGGTTGAAGTTGAGCGGCTGGGGCGGAGAGGGCTTCCTCCCACAGCCCTCTATCGGAATCATACCCAGGGCCTCACCTTCGCTCTGGATCCGCTACTGCTTTTGCACGCCTTCCTTATCTGGCTGGGACTCTGCGTGGTACACATGGCAGTGGGGCCCACCCACAGACAACTCCCCCTCCCCCCAACACAGGTGGGACAGGTCTATAAAACATGTGGGTCTCCTGATGAGGGTCATGGAGGTCCACCTTAAACAGAGTGTGATTCCATGCCTGCCAATTCTTTGACAATGGGTGCATTCCAATTGAGCTCGCTCCCTTGTCTGGGAAATGGGGAAATAATGGTACCTTCCTAATGAGATGGAACCCATTGAAAGAACTTACACAAAGTCTGATACAGGCTAAACAGGGCTTGGTTGGTGTCTACCTTAAGAGTGCAGGACTCGACTTCTGGCCCATGGAAGCCACCCTGATGTAATGTCAGGGTTGACATGGACATCCACATCATCACCCATGAGAGGCAGGCTCAGAAGACCCCAGGGCCCTTCTGTGCCCTGAATTCATAGCAGTTCAGACCTGCTGCATGTCTCAGGGCCCCAGACACACCCTTTTCCAGCCCGCCCCACAGCTGTGTGGGGGCTGGGTTCAGCTCCTGGGGTGGGGGCTCAGCTGGGCTTCTCTGGAGATGGAATAAGCCTGTGCCCCTGACAGCCCCTCATTACACACCCCCATGTCCTGTAATTAACCCCCATGGGGTCTGGACTCCCTGGGGTGTGCGTGGGGGCTCTTCAGACCCCATCAGCATGTGGTTGGGGGAGACTGTTGAGATAGCAGCTTGCCTGTCAGAGGAACTCTGTCTTGGATGTCAAAAGGTGCTGGTGTGTGTGTGTGTGTGTGTGTGTGTGTGTGTGTGTGTGTGTGTGTGTGTGACTGCAGAGGGCCCACTAGACAGCTGACACAGAGGGAGAGACATTGAGGTGCTTAGGCGGTTTCCTTTATTCAAGACCAGAAAGTCAGGATGACCACAGAAGGAAGTCACCAAGGGGCCACAAGGCTGAGGGGCAGGAGGCCTGGAGAGGTGGGGGCAAGGCCCACCACTGGATCCCAGAGCCCAGAGGAGCACAGCTTGTCCAAGAGGCAGAGGCACTGGTCACTGGAGTCACAAGGGTAGAGACAGGCACCTGGGAGGGAGACATGCACTCCTAAACGCCCCTGTGCTGCCCCCAGCCAAGGGCTCCACTCCCCACCCCCTCGGCCCCCACCCTTCCCACTCACTGAGAGGCTGTGGGAGAGTCGGTCCTGTCCAGCAGTGGCATCATGGACTAGGGCTGGGTGTGGTGGCCGGTGTGCAGGGCCTGGGAGCCCCAGGGCTGATTCCTTGACTGGCGTAGTACTCCACTACCTGCCGGGGCACCTCAGCCAGGACACACTTAGCTAGAGCCGAGGGTGGGGTCTGGGTATTGAGACAGAGTTTGGGTTAGCTGTGGAATGGGGGAGGTGAGGCCAATGAGGGAGGGGAGGGGAAGGTCAGTCAGCTGGTCAGCTGTGCCGCAGGGCCCTTGGCTGGAATCAAGCCGATGGGAGGGACAGGGCAGAGTTGGAGTCGGGAGAGGGGTGCTGAGGAATCCATTGGCGGGGAGGGGGCAGGGGCACTCACATCCTTGAAGTCCCGGAAGGGCACGAATTGGACGATGTCTCGGGCTGCGGGCACCCCTCGGGGACACCGCAGGGGGCCGTCGTCGCCGTCCAGCAGCCGCATGTCCGAGAAGTCGGCGTTGCCCACGCCCACGATGATGATGGACATGGGCAGGTGGGAGGCACGGACGATGGCCGTGCGGGTCTCGGCCATGTCGCTGACCACGCCATCCGTGAGCACCAGCAGCACCGAGTACTTCTGAGTCGGGTGGGAGGGGAGGACGGGTGGACTCAGGGTGCCAGGAAGGGCCTTGGCGCCCATCCGTGCCCTGGTCCTGGCGCCCACCCCTGGCCGCCTCACCGTGGCTTGGCCGGTGCTCTGCTCCCGCTGCGCCGGCTCGGCCACTCGGTTGATGATGGGAGCCACGTTGGTGGGCCCGTACAGCTGGATCTGGGGCAGGCAGCGGCGGTAGGAAGTGATGACCCCGGAGATCTCTGCGAGCAGATGGAGGAGGCGGGGAGGCTGACCGAGATCCGGGCTCGTTCCCACGCCCCTCAAGTCCTCTCTTAGGACAGCGGCGTCATCAGAGTGAACGGCACCCGGTGCACTCACGCAACGTGTCCTCAACCCCCAGACCTGCCAGTCAACCCCCTGCTGGTGGGCAGATCCCCAGCCCAGACCCGCCCCTCACCATCATCCCGGGACCCAGACAGATCCTAGCCCCGCCCACCTGCCCCTAGGTGACTGGTGGTGGGGAATGGTGGTGTGAAGTCATCACAGTGGGGCAGGGGAGGGAAGGGAAAGGACCTTACAGGGTGACAGGTGACACCAAAGATACCTCTGCTTGGTGGCCTCACTCCCTGTGGCACTCTCGGGCCTGCTGCTGACCCTCCCTGGGATCATTTTGGAGGACCTTCCCCTCTGATACTAAGGGGATGCAGCCAGCAGCTCTCCCCTCCCCACTCCTGCCTAGTTACACCCCTGTCCCAGGGATCCTTTCCCAGTGCCTCACTGGGTGGCAGAGAGGTGGGGGTGGGGCCGGAAGTCTTACCAGCTGAAGACAGGCTGTGGGGTGGGGCTGGGTGGTGGTGGTGGTGGTGGGTGGGGGGAAGGGGCAGATAGCGTGGCCTAAAGGAGTCTGGCACAGAGTGTGTGCCAGGCAAGGGCAGCGAGGTGTGTGCGTGGCAGCCTGCCCACTTACCTTCACATTCAGGATTTTCTGGGTCAAAGTTGATGGCAAAGTCGTGGGACACCTGTGAGGGTGTGGAGTGGTGGTGACAGGGTGTCTTTTGTCTCTGCCCGGACTCTCTGCCCTTCCTTCCCCTCCCACCCAGCCTACCTCAAAGTTGGGAGGGATTCTCGCCCCAAAGCCAAATGCTGGGAATCTTTTATCACTGGGGAGGAGAAATCACTGTGGGAGGCCCATTGGGCCACTTCTCCCAGCCTGGTGGTGCCCAGCCCCTCCTTGTACCTGTCATAGTCCTGGCAGATGCCGCCAACTGCCCGCAGGGCCTGCAGGTAGTGGTTGGGCTGGCGGGGGCTGAGGCAGTGTAGGGACTGGCTGCTCCTGGGGTCCCCATTGGAGGCAGTGAAGTCAATGGCCACCTGGATGGGGATGGGGGCAGAGGAAAGACCAGGGCCCTAGCTGTGAGGGCCATCACAGGCTAAGCCAGACCAGAGGCCCTATAGGGAGGACTGAGATGTGTCTGGGGGCCCACAGGGAGGGAGCCATGATGTGGGGGTGCAGGCTGACAATATCAAAGCTCCCGAGAGAAGCCCGCATAGGGGCAGCAGGGCTCCCAGGCCCCTCCATTTCATCATGGGCTCAGTCCCTCCTTCTCCCGCATGCCTTTACCGTGAAGCTGATCTGGCAGCCGCCCATGATGTAGTCCAGGAAGGTGTGCACTTTCTCCACCTGTGGGATGGGGTGGTCGGGGCGGGGCAGGGAGACAAAGTGGAGGGCAGGTCCTTTAAGAGGGAGCTGGTTGGGGCTTCTCTGGGGAGGTGGAGACTTGGAGGTGGTCATTGCGGTGGAAGAGGGCAGGAGTTCCTGCCCAGTTCCCAGAAGCAGAGCAGTGGTGTTTGAGAAGAGGTGAGAAATGGCTCTGAGGTGGGGCGGGGCATGGGTAGGGACTGAGGCAGGAGCTGGGGCAGGATTGAGGGTTACCGTGCACTGGGCCAGCACTACGGTCCCTGAGCTCTTGTAGTTCTTCTTCTTGTCTCGGTATTTGGGGTTGATACAGTCCCACTGCATCTAGACCCCCCACCCCCCACCCCACAAGCCCATGGTTACCATGCCATCAGGGAACTCTTCTCGCCCCCTCATAGGGGCAGGCAGGGCTCCCAGGACTTTATCCTTAGGATGAGCCAAAGTGCTTCCAACCCACTCCCACACCGCCCCAATGAGCCACCTATGGTGGTCCCTTCAAGATCACCCCCAGGATTCTCCCAGGGATTTGGGTGGGATTCCTTGTGGCACCTCTTGCCCAGGACTTGCTGTCCCTTCCTGCATCTCCTGGAAGCTGCTGGTGAACTCGCCGATAAAGTCATGCTTCCCACTGGAGTCATAGTCATACACCAGGAACTGACAAGACACAGAGGGGTCAGAGTCAGGGTCAGGGGGTGCTTTGAGGGGGTTCCTGTTGGGATGGGGGTGGAGGACAGAGACTCAGGGAAGGTGGAGCCTAACAGGGCCCAGACAGACTGTCCCAACCTCGCAGAGGGGCCAGCTCATGAGCTTTGTTCTCGGCTCCATCTGGCAGGGCCTTTGGCCTTTGATAAAGAAGCTCAGCCCTGAGCTGGGACGGTCATTGATCCCAGAGTGGGAGGGTTGGATCACAGGTGTAGGGGTGAGGGTCCAAGATGTTAGACTGCCCTTGCTCGGTTGGGGGCTTCACCTTGAGAGGCCGCTGGATGTCACAGCTGCACAGGGAGTGCAGGGACAGGCGGAATGGCTCCCAGCTGGGGTTGAGGTTATTCTTCACCACCTTGGAGAAGCACCGGGCAGTCGGTCACTTGCTGTCCCAGCGTTCTCGCCTCGGCTCTCCCTCCAGCCAGGCCCATAGCCCCAAGCACCAACCTCGGTCCTCCAGACCAGCTGGTCACTCTGATCCCCATTGGTCTTATAGATCTCTAGGAAAGGGTCGGACTTGCTGAACAAATCCTGGGGAGACACGGGGTGGGGGGTGCTCTTGGGTCTGGTGAGGTCTCCAGGGAGAGTCAAGAAGCAGATAAGCAGTGGGAAGGGGCAGGCTGGGATCTTGAGTGGGAGTCAGGACTTGGGGCTTCCAACCTTGTTGTCCAGTTTATGGGCTCGGAAGGTGAGCTGTACGTAATCATTGGTCCCGGAGACTTCTTCAGCCACGATCTGCGAGGAGGACACAAGTGACAGCCTCTCCCCTCTCCTCCCAGCCCCCCATGGCCACTGCGCCCTCCTCCCTCTCCAATCTCTTCCCCGAGGTCACCCTGGATTTAAAAATCCGGGGTCACCAGACGCCTGGCCAAAAGGTCTAGGTGGCTTGCCTACCGTGATGGTGGACTTGCCCGCCGTCTTCCCGTTCTTTAGCAGCAGTGGCTTTGTGACCTTGGTTTGTGACACAATCTAGGGAGAGAGGTGGAGGCAGAGCCAGCGGTGACCCCTCCCTGCTTGGACTGGGCTCCTGGGCTCGGCTGGATAGAACAGTAAGTGTCCTTTGAAGAGCCACTGGCATTGGGTCTGGTGAAGGAGCCCTGGTGGCATTGTGGTTAGGTGCTGGGCTGCTAACCGAAAGGCCAGCAGTTCAAAGTCACCAGCTTCTTCATGGGAGAGAGACGAGGCTTTCTACTCCCATAAGAGTTACAGTCTGGGAAGCTCACAGGCCCTTTCTTCCAGGCCCTATAGGGTTGCCATGAGTCAGCACCGACCGAGTGACAGTGGGTTTGGCTTTTTGGAGGAGGATTTGACTTGATTTCCACAGCAGCCTTTAAGCACAGGGGGCATCGTGAGATTCCCATTTTCAGATGAGGAAGCAGAGACTCCCAGAGGGGAAGTGTTTTGCCCAAGGCTGCAGCACAGCCAGTGTGATGGAGAGAGGCCCTGAGCCGGCCAGCCGAACTGAGCTTCAGAACGCAAGCTCGCTCTCACTTTCACTTGAGGAAGCTGAGGGGTGGGGCTGGGCTACCGACCTGGCCCAAGGTGCACTCCGTGCAGCCCAGGAAGGTGTCGTTCCGGGGGCTGGTGGAGCCATCCTCGGCATCAAACACGTGGAACTGCAGCGGCTGCTTCTCCTCAAAGAAGTACTCCAGGGCCAGCACCCGGGAGAAGACAGGGCTGGAGCAGGCGCGCAGCACCTCCGTGCGTTCCACCTGGGGCGCGGGGTAGAGAGAGGGGTCCAGCGAGCACCTCTGGGGGCTGAGACCACCTTCCCCTCCTGGACCTCTCTAGCCAGGCCAGCTCTTCCCCGGGAGTGGCAGGGGGTGGGTGGGGTGCATCTCTAGTGACTAGCTCATCCCTCCCTAGGCTGGACCCCGGTTCGGCACTGCTGACCTACTAGCCCACCAGCCCTCCGAGGCCCTCATAAGACCCCAGAGCCCTCCCTTCTTCTCAGGACCCTTTGAGGTGGGCTTCAAAAGCCATCAACCATTGTATGCTTCTAATGATGGCACACTCTTTTCCAAGGTTACCCACAAACCCCAGAAGAGAACCCCCCGCCCCCCACCTTGGTGCCCTCTCGTTCCCCATGAGGCTCAGTCTCTCTCACTGCCCCACCCAGCCTTGCTTCCTCGTAGGCCCCCTCTCACCTCTACCCACTGCTCATCCGAGCACAGCTTGAGCAGCACGCAGGGGTGGGGCTTGGTGAGCGTGTCTCGGTCCAAGAGGCCATGGCAGGAGACCCGGAGCTCCACCCTGGAGGCTCCCAGCGTCATGGCCGGGGGCTCAGGCACCCATCCCGTAGTCTCAGGGTCCGACATGTCACCGTGGGAGTAGAGCAGAAGAGACTCCTACTGGGAGAGATTGGTTCTCCCCTCTGGTAAGGATTCCAGAGACCTGGTGTGGGGGGTAGGGTAGGGGTGTGCTCTGGGGCTGTGCCCTGTCCCCCTCCTTTGCCCTCCTTCCTAAGACCTCTGCTTCCCGGTTTGGCACAGGTGGGGGTGGGGCAGAGGACCCAGGTCCCCCTGTGCTTCTGTCACCTACCCTCTTGGCCTAGATGTGCATAGAGGGGGTTGGGGAGAACTCAGAGATCGGGGTGTGGGGTGTTTCTTGCCAGACCTGGCTCCTTAGGCCATCGATTAAGTCCCTGCTTCTGCTGGCTCAGCACCTTCCGCTTATTTCCCGACTGAGGTTTGAGCCAGCCCTGCACTCAGGCTTGGCACCAGGGAGCTCAACTGGGGCAAGGGGGTGGGGCTGGGGGTGAAGAGGCCCCTGAACTGGGGCAAGGGGGGCTGGGGGTGCTGAGGAGGAAGGAGTCTGCCTAAGGCAGGAGGTAGGCTGGAAGGATCCCCACCCTCCCGGCTGGCTGATGCAAAGGTGGGGTGGTAGGCTTGGGGTGGAGTTAGGGGTAGGCGCCCTGTCCCTGTTGACAGCTCTCCAAGCACCTGGCTGGGGCTTCCACTAGGACACGCTTTGCATCCGTCCCTCCCTCCCCACCCCACCCCCACTCCTGTTCTCACACTTCTTGGCAGTAGCCCTGGCACGGTCTCTTAGCGACAGGATTTGGGGGGGAGCCAAGGCCCCCTCTGTGCTGCCCATGGGATTGCACTCTTTCCCCCTCCCCCAGCAGTGGGACAGAGCCTCTGGTGGCGGCAGCAGACTGGGTCTGCCGACCTGGGCTCATGGCCGGTCAGGGTCAGGCTACCCATCAGCATCTGTCCACATCTCAGGGGGAGGTGGGCTTCCCTCACAGTGTGCTCCTCTGAGCGAGTGGACGCTGGTGTGTCTCGGTGACCCCACCCTGTGTGTCTGTCCTCCAGTCATGTGTCTGTAGTCAGGAGGATGTGTTCATTTCTGTCCCTCAGAAGGGGGACCCCTCCCTAGTTGGGCACCCACCTACGAGTAGTGGACTCTCTCAGGGCATGCGAGGGAGGGCCTGGGCTGGGTTGGGGGGGGTCTCTGCCTGCCATCAGGAGTCTCACAGTGTTCCTGGGATCCCGGAGACAGATAGGGGCTGGGCGGGGCTGGGGGCTCGCTGCGCGCGGTGAGAAGAGGTGTGCCTGGGCCAGGGAGGAAGGGTGGGCTCACCTGCACTCAGTCCAGACTTCTCTCTCTGGCGCTCCAGCCCTGGCCCTGGTTCCCCCAATGCTCCAGCCTCCGGCTCTGCTCCGGCTCCGGCTCTGCTGCTATTTATGGGGCCTGGATGGGAGGGGTGGGGGGGCCTGCAGTACCAGCTCCCCCCCACAGCCCGGGTGGGAGGGAGAAAGGAGAAGAGGGG